GGTAGCCATATGTAATATTTCTGTATCTTTATCTATAAATATATCAATTTTGTTTTATGTTGTAAATTAATCCGATAAGATTTATCGAACTTCTGTTTTTTTTTTCAGCGTTATGTTCCATAACAAACAGTTGTGTATGTAACCTGTTCAACTTAATATAAATAATCAGTAAATCAGTGTATATATATCTTGAACTTATACAGCAAAAGATAGTTCGAACACCTGAAAGCAATCGGAAATTTGCATCACCAGCTTTAAAAGTAAAAAAAAAGTTGCCACCTTCTAGGATGTTTTCCTGAGTCGTAAGTAACTTTACAAACATACATTTTCACATACACATCACACCCAGACTCGAAACAACATTTTACACACCACACCCGGGGTGTGTATGTAAGAAACATCACAGAATTGGCTGAATTGATTTGCCTATTCGGTAATTTTGTTAATTTACTTCAAAAAGTCGATCAAATACTTACTATTCGATCGAGTTTAAGATGAAAACCAATAAATATAATCTTTATTGATTAATTTTTAACAGGGTTTTTTGTAAGCAAAAAGTTATCGGATTACTTGACGCACCATTTTTCGAATTATGTCTTATAAAATTATGTTTTTGTAATTTCATTTTTGAATTTTGAGGTAGGTACGAGTATCTATGCCGTACGGTACCCGCGGCCTCGGCCTAAAGCAGAAAGAACGGCAATTTTAGTCAGTAAGAGTCTGACACTCCCTTTCGCTTCATTCTGGGCGAGAGAACTTATATGATGACTTTCCCCTTGTTAAAGAATCTGGGAATTTATGTATTTGTTTTGTATTTTCAAAAAACGTTGCCCCAGATTAGGAATTTCTCCTGTGTCTTGTCTTTCCACAAAGAGTTGTTCCGTGCGGGAATCGAACCCTCGACACATTGCACAACAGCCAGTTGCCCAGCCACCGCACCAACCGTGCAGTCAGAAATTACAAATTTACAATTTAAAAAAAAATATACAAAAATACAACTATTTTGTAATATGTTTAATTAAAAAGATGGGTTAGCCATAATCATGACATAAGGCAAGCGGACCACAGATTGCAATTAAAAGGATTACATTAACATAGAACGCTACTGCCCGGTCTCCGTAAACAGCGTTTTCATGACAAGGGATTCCACTCATGCCTTTAAATCCAACATTTTGGAAACTGCGTACGAATTTTAATTACTTGGTACACGTACGCAATACGAGTATATGAAGGTCTTGTTTTGCGAAGGAAAAAACATCAAATGACTTCTCCCGCCTAGGGTGAGGCGAGACACCGCGACCTCGGCCCAGAGCAGCAGAAGGAACGGGGGGGTTTTTAGTCAGTAAGAGTCTGACACTCCCTGGGCGGGAGAAGTCATTTGATGATTTCCCCTCACAAAAAAAGGGGGTGAGGCGAGAGGTAGTGCCAGACTCTCACTGACTTAAAACCCCCGTTCCTTCTCCTGCTCTAGGCCTGCGGTAACTTATTGCTTTTGATCAGCAACTCCGGTGGAAGAACTGAAAACTTAATTGAGTGCATTACAAAGAAGAGTATAAAAAACAGACGAGTAATTTTACCTTTGCATACAAATTGAAAACCACATTTAACTGCTGACCTAATGAAAAAAATAAATTGCCAAATGACTCTAACATAATGTACCGCGGCATCGTGAAGGATCAGGATAAGAACCAGGGTGGTTTCTGGTCAGTAAGAGTGTCTCATGTGTCGTGGTGGCCCGGAGGTTAAGGTGCCCGCTTCTCATGCATGAGGGTGCGGTTTCGAAACCTGGCAAGTACCAATGTGACTTTTTCCGACTCATATGTACTTCCTATGATTATATAGACACCACTGACATACGGTGAAGGAAAACATCGTGAGGAAACCTGGACTTGTAATTTCTAATTATAAGTTTGAAATCACCAATCCGTCTTGAGCAAGCGTGGTGAATAATGGCTCAAACCTTCTCCGTGTGAGAAGAGACCTTTCCTCAGTAGTGGGCACTTATAGGCTGATGATGATGATGATGATGAAGAGTCTGACACTCGTCCCACCCAGGAGAGAGAAGTCGTCAATAAAAGACCTTAATATATTGCATATAAAAGCTTGATATATTCAATCAGACGGCTAGTCATTTACACCAATATATAAATAGCTAATTAATCTTAGTCTGCGAGATGTCTACGTGCCTCGCAGCAGCAATACGATGCGTATATTCGGTTATTTCCAAAGATTTTCCGTATTCAAATTTATCTCTATTGACTTTATACATAAGCGTTCATTATTTAATGTAAACATTTGTGATTAGTGCCTATTCTACATTTAAGTAACTTTTGATCTCTTTACATTTTAAATTTCGAATAAATATATAAATAGTAGGGTACAGAACTATTTTATTTTTGGTAAAAATAACGTTGTGGGATAGTAGGATTTTCTTCTGTGTCGTGGGTGCGGTTACAAACATACAATTTCACACACACACCCAGACCCGGAACAATAATTTGTGGATCACACAACGAGTTGTCCCGTGCGGGGAATCGAACCCGCGACACGTTGCACGGCAGCCAGTTACCCGGCCACCGCACCAACAGTGCAGTTAATAAATATATAATCTATATAAATGTATAGGGTATACTTCACATTTTCCTAACGCTAAGTGTATATTTGTCCCCAAAAATTAAACTGATTACTGTCATTTTGCTCTCATCCAGAACAGAAGTGTGGGAGAGCCATGCTTCGGCACGAATGGGCCGGCTCAAACCAACACTAAAGTTGCCATGTTCGTATAGTTACCGGAATCCCAATTTTTCCTCTCCTCATCCTCCCCTCAAATTTCCTATCCTTTAATCCCATATAACCCACAAGAGGATGGCTACGCACTTGCAGTAACTTCTTAGGTATTATGAGCGACCAGGGCGGCACTAATTGTTTACCACCAGGTAATCCATCAGCTCATCTGCGAACTTATAACACTAAAATTTAATAGCTATTTGACTTAATAGCTGTTTTAGAAGCAGATTTGAATGAACTTTGTTACTGAGAAAGATTATGGCCTGGCAGGAAGGCTACTTCTATTCTGGTAGATAAAGACCACTGAGGATATTTGGAGCATATGGAGTGTTCTGTAGAGGAAACCACGTCAATAAAGACGAGTGTAGGGCGCTCTCCAGCTAAGTTTTTTTTTTTTTTTTGTGAGGGGAATATCATCAAATGACTTCTCCCGCCCAGGGCCGGGCGGGAGGGTGTGTCAGACTGTTACTGACTAAAAACCCCCTGTTCCTTCTCCTGCTCTGTGCCGAGGTCGCGGTACCTCATTGCGCTTACCCCGCAACCCCGTGCTTACGGTGGCCGGAGATCGTCCCTCGATCCCCGACGCCCGTAGTGTCGCCAGTTGCGGCTGCTGGGGCGTGAGGAGGAGGATTGCTCCCTCACGCGGGCCGCCTCTCTCTTTGCGAGCATGACTGCTTCACAAAAGGAGGAGAGTGCGTCCCAGTTCCTCTCACTCTGCACCATGGCCTCGACTAAGGCCGGGCGCGAGAGGTCGCCTCGGTTGCGACAGTCGCTGCTTCCACTCAGCCATGAGATCTCGCCGGAGCTCATTCCGCCACGCACTAATTTGGCGCGGCAGAGGATCCTCGCCCCGGCGACGCGCGTCTGCGCGCAAACTGTAGACGCGCGCGAGCGCCTTTGCTTCCAGATCCCATGGCGGTAATCCGGCAAGGATCTCCAGCTAAGTGGACTGACGATATCTGTAAGGCAGTGGTTGGATGAGAAGATCTGAACATTGAGCTCAGTGGCGTGTAATTCGAGATGTTTACTTTTGGTAATGGACGGAAACTATTTAGGCAGATGATATCCGTGAGGTGACTGGCAGTGGTTGGATGAGAAGACCTGAACATCGAGCTCAGTGGCGTGCAATTGAAGAGACCTAAGCAGTTTTTTTTTATGTACATAATTGGTCGGCAAACGAGCAGACGGATTACCTGATGGTAAGCAATCAGCGCCGCCCATGGACACCCGCAACGGAGGAGTTACGAGTGCGTTGCCGACCTTTTAGGGATTAGGGATTTGGAGATTTAGGGATTGAGGAGGGATTGGGGGCGGGGAAGGATTGGGCCTCCGGTAGTGGACGGAAAAGGGCTGATGATGATGATGATGTTGTTGAGGATAATGATGGAGATTGATCCTTTTACTATGGCAGAAACTAGTCTGTTATAATACTAAATACCTATATACATATCTACCTGATAACAACACCATAGTACAAATCAGAACATGGAAAAAACGTTTATCACAAACACGATAATTTTAATGTTTCCCAGTACAATGGATTACGTGTTACCTACCTATTGTTTAATAATGTACGCTAAATGCTTAATAAAAGTGACATTTTCCTACATTTTACTATTTATAGTAGTAGCATTCATTACCTATATTTCGTTGGTCATGTATTTGTTTAGAGGATTTGCTGGAATTCTATTTTCTATTTACATTATTATGCGTAATCCATTTTCCCACACCATATGCAAAATTAGTGTCTGTTCAACCAATTTTGATCTCTATCATGTGGGCATTAAAGCTTCAGAAGTAGATATTTACAAAAAAAATGACCTCGCCAATTTTGTTTTATTTATACTAAAAAGATTATTTGTCATCTTTATTATTAGATATTTTTAAAGTACTTACATCTTCTTTAAAGAAGAAGAAGATAATAACGGCGACAATATGTGTAGGTAATTTCTTAATACTTTATTTGATTTTACACCATAAAAATACGCTATAAGTTGAATCTGTATTGTGCAAATAGTTAATATATCTATTTTATTTAATGCAAACTCATTATTATTTTATACGAATCACTTTTGCGATAAATCAACAACATATATAATTCGACCTTGATTTACTTTTTGATTGTCATTATAGTTTATTATACAATAAAGATCCGTTGACCTATAGCATACAAAATGTTTAAATTTAACGACTATTTGAAATAATCCACCAAATCAGTATTTACGTTTTTGTGCAACCATGCACCATATCCTCATTATGTTTGATACTTCTAGAACATTATTTTCAACACCATCAGGCAGAAGACGTCTAGGTTCTTCTATACAAGAAGCCTCCCTCTTTTTTTCTGAGGGTGAATACCGTTACATGTTTTCCTAGACCGTTAGTCAGTGCTTTTAAATAAACTTAGAAAGTACATAGGACTAACTCTCATGGGGATGTCACATTGGTACAATCTAAACCCTTGCATCCTCATGTACATTAAACTCCGACGCACTAGAATATGCACATACTCGTATAACGTAATGAAAATGCCTAAGACAGGAAACAGAAGTCGACAGTTGCAAAAAATGACTAATTATATAAGTACCTACTCCTATAAAATAATAATTTCGTAGCTATTGTGTCTTCTACATTGTAAAACCTTTGAAACGATTTTATGGTCCGTGTATCAACAAAATTACAACGTATCCACAAGGCAATGTGGGCTCATAATGCATTTATAGGAAACCCATAGTTTCTATGAATGCATTGCACGTTTTTTTTCGTGTCAGCTAATTTTCCGAAGTTTTACCTCGATTGTTTCAAAGTGCGGGCTATGAGCGTATCGTAATGAGACCAATTAGTTCTTACTCAAGTGTTTATAACAAAATTCTGAGAAATTGATGCAATTTGTCTTGTCAAGTCATGTTCACCGTCCCCAATGTTGGGTTAATTGCCAGCCGATTAAAATAGCATTAACGAAATTACGTACTCGTAATGGCTGCGTGAACGCAACCTTTATGGGTATTGTTGCGTTATGGTTTTGTTAATGACGATTTAACGTGTTTCTTCCTTCATTAATGAATCAATTGTTACTTAGAATCTATTTGTTGTCAGCGTTTATGCACTTCCCGTTATTGCATTATTTCCTTGTTTAGGAAAATACCTAATAGTTGTCGTAATGTAATAGACCTGAAGTTTTTTCCCTAAAAGTAAGGACCGGCAGAAGTTTCCACTCGTAGGTACTATGATATTAAAATGTAGCTTAAAGATTTTGTGCTAATATCATATACGGGAAAAAGAGGTCACACTTATTCAGGTTCGGATATAGGTACCATATACGATTCATCGTCTGCCAAATTTGTTTCTTATAGGTTTTTCCGACATCCGCAGTAGTAGCAGGCACATTGTATTCTATCTTGTCTTTCAACTCAATCTAATAAGCCATTTCTAAGGATCAAATTAAAACAGGTGGGAGTATAAAACGACCGAGGAAGTAAATTTAGTTCCGACATAAAAACTAATTGAAAAAACGTGTAAGCGTGATATTCAGCAGTTAGTCTAAACGTTCTTGGAAAGTATCCATAACGGTGGTATTAGGGTTGGTACCCTTACGGTTGAATAAGCAAGGGGCTGGCCACCCGGCACCGAACTGACGTTCTACCTGAGTGGAGACCCTGGTGTTATTAGCTAGCTAGTGACACAATCTAATAACGCTGCCATTTTAGAACGGGAATGACTAGAAATAGATAATTTAATTTTCAAATTTCGACAATGTTCGAAATGGCTTTGGGTTTACATTGAATACTAATGTTGCCTACTGTGATTATTTTAGCCAATTTGAATTGTAACTAGTGTACATTTTGATTAGTATATCATCGAATATGAACAGTAGCGACAAAACAAAATCATTTTAGATTCCAAATGGTATTCATAGCATATTAATGAGGTCTAATTTTGGAAAGTTGGAATTAATATATATTTTTTATTGTTTTAGTTCTTTGACTGTTTTACTTCAATTCAATCAGTCTTGGTGTACTTTCAGTTTACTTAGAACAAGTACTAAATCAATAATGTGTAGCGCTAAATATAGATTTGCTATTTTTACGACCTATGAATACTTTTAGATGTTCCATGAATCCGAATTTTGCGCAGGCGAAGCTAGTATGGAATAGTTGCTTACTTATGCATGTGTGTGATGTAGGTCTTTATTCTTTTTAGGTTTCTCTCAAATTTACGTTATACTTACTAGAAAATAAGTTTCAAAATCCCGTTCTGAGACAGCGTTTAACAATGGGATGGATATCAATAAGTACTAACATACATTATCAACCTATTATACTTCTTTTCTTCAGGTCCTTTTCTAGTTAACTAAAAAAAACATTAATTGTAACACGTCCTATTAGTAAGGGAAATTAATGGCTCTAATACGTTCTAAGTGACTTCGTACTTTTCCCCTGTAGGTAGTTCTTGGCCGGAGTCATATTTCTACTAAGAATTCTACTCGTCACGCCATCGCGGAGGGCGGATTCCATAATTAATTCTACTAATATCTTAGATGGATAAGTGTTGGAGAAAATTCTATTTGTTTCCCTCAGCGTTCTAAGAAGAGTATTAACTCAAGTACTTCTTAGATTTAGAAGAAAAAAAAATATAATAGATGTGATTCTTGAAATCACCTCGACATAGTTGCTAGCGCGTGTCATGTTTATCCAACAAACAGTTCTATTTTATGTGTAGTAAAAATTTGAGACACTAAATTTCGTAATGTCGGTGTGTTTACTCGAGAAATTCTTGGGAATCACTTAACCATTTGTAATGTTTGGTCTGGTAGCGTTCCAATTGGGTCACAACACTCGGGAATCGATGCTGCATGGCAACATGCGTGTTATTGTATACCATCTGTAATCTGTTGTAATCTAATCGTATCTAACATTCATCATGTGAAGATAAATCGTTTTGTCTGCTTTAATACGTATACGATACGATATACCTCAGGCGTTTGTGATATCAAAGGATTATTGATTCAGATATCTATGTACGAGTTGCCGCAAATTTATCTTACAACGTAAATCTAGTGATGTAGATGATAAGCGTCAATATTTATTGAATATATCTTCTTACTTACGCAAAATAACTCTAATGCTCGACTAGTTTCAAGTCACCACGGGACTCTTGTTCATGAGCAGCGTACGAGCAACGTTGCGCAGTCGAGTCACGTGGGTAAGTCGGTATGTTTGTATGTCCCATGATAATTACTAGTCAAAAATAGTGTAGTGTTGATCTATGATTTAATGATGTCACAATAATATGTAGGTAATAATACGTACCACTCATATTACTTAAGTGTATATATGTATATAATGTTCTTATTTCACGTGGGTAAAATAAATGAAAAATGCGTTGCTCTGAAAAGAGATTTATTTTTATAAACAATATGTTTTAACGTACAAATACAATGGTTAGGTATTTACAATCAATAACAATCCTTACCTGAAAAAAAGAAACAACATTTAAGCTATAATTTCACTTATTTAGTTTATATTCGCCGGTTTTTAATTTTACGTATAACCCAAAACTCCATTTTTTATTCTTTTTATAATGGCTAATGCCACCGTGGCATAGCCAACAAATTTCAAAATTCGAATCCAGTAAAGCGCGGCAAATTCAAATTGAATGAAGGGTAATAAACTTCATTTATTTACTTAGATATTTCAAATTGTCTTCCAGAAAAACTTTTTAATATCGCAAAAGGTTTTATAAAATGTGTTAAGGGGTCTAACCACAAATAAATTAAAAAAAAATAGAAACAGATGAGCGGCAAATTACAATTAGAATTTGATTATGGAATAAAACAAGGACTCAATCTTAGGTATACTTTATTGTAGTATTATTTTGTCGCGATGTGTCAGCTTTGTATTTTGCGGAAGTATCTAATTGGGATTCTTATGAAGTTGATGATTTAATAGTGTGAAGTCACTTCGCGTACTCCATATTAGGAAGAGTTGTACCATTGTTATTAGCGACAGATCCTTTGTTGCTGTCTTTTATTTAAAACGGCTTCGTCCAAATTGCGTGTTTTTTATGTTTTTATTTAGTACTAGTTTTTGCCTGCAACTCCGTTCGCGTGAAATACTGACTTCCTGTAGATTTTTGGTATAAAAACTATCCTATCGCACGCTTATTAATAAACCGAAATAAGTAAAAAAAACACTTTTGTGGGAAATCGCTATCAAAGTTTTGAGCCTCTACCTTGATGGAAACTTTTTGTTGTATTTCACGTGTTTACGATACTATTTTTAAGTACTTGGTCTTAAATTGTAGGGTAATGTATATAGAATTTAAAGAAGTAAACAGTATAACAAAATTATTTATGTATAATTAATAAAATAAGTTTTTGTTTTTAACTTCCGACTTATGCCAGTTTAGTTTTGAAAATAGTGACAATTGTTTGAACATTTTTGAAACAATACTTAATAATTCAGTTTATTATTAAAAATAGTAACAAATTGTTTAAATGTTTTTGAAAAAATCCTTAATAGTTCATTTAAGTGTTGAAAATTATATTAGTTTGTTTGGAAGTTTCATAGTTACTACAGTTTAAAAGTCAAGTGAAAGTAAAAATGCAGAAATATTTGGTGAAAAACTGTTTTAATATCAAATAGTATTATCGTATTTCGCATTAAAGTTTTATCAAAACTGCTTTGGTATTCATTATAATAATTATAGTTAGATATAGGAACTTGAATAAGTTGGTAAAATCAAGAGCACGTCCAGCTGTACCCTCAGACATAGTAGCGTGATAGATCTGAAACTGCTCTTGGTCGACCTAACTAACAAAGTATGCATCTAACTTAGCATTTAATAACCGCAAATTAAAATATAGACTTATACAGACTTATAATATTCATCACAAAATGTCTCTTGAGATCTAGCTTCACTAAACTTTATAAAAACAAAGACGTACTTTACGTAATATAAAAGCATTAACATTTTTCTTATATAACTAGGTAGGAACTTGTACTATGTATGTTAACAACGTTTTCATAAAATACTATCACATAAAATCAACATAATTTAATGGGTTTACCCATTATTAGTCTTAAATCAACATAATTTAATGGGTTTACCCATTATTAGTCTTAAATCAACATAATTTAATGGGTTTACCCATTATTAGTCTTAATTAGTCTTATATGTTTCAGCTATAGCTAGGATATAACAAAAAAAAAAAATACAAATAAAATCTAGCTTGAGTATTTTACGCTATAAAGCTATTTAGAAATTTAAAAAATAGAAGTATAAAAACTGGCGTAATGAGACGGAATGAGACTTTTTGCAATTAACTCTTTCAAGTCTTTTTTTTTATTAGCGCTTATTTCCTGCCTTTGCGTATATGCTGCGTTCAAACTTATCTCTGTGGCAGATTTCATCTTCCTTCGTTTATTCCGCACATTCACTTCCCTGTAGTTTTCGTCCTTGTAAGATGTCTTGTAGTAAAATACAAAAGGATTTTCTTTAGTCACTTTCAGGACCTTAACCTCATTCCAATTGACATTTTGGCCACTTTCATCCGTTCCAAAATTAAATCCCCACTCCGACTGCAAGAGTTTGAAATCTATAATACTATCATAAGTTAGCTCATGAACGTTGATTGGAGGGTTACCTTTCTTTGAGTTTTTAATTAGTGTTATGTATTCGACTGGGGTGTATATTGGGCCAGATTTTAGGGTTTTCTTGACTTCTTTTTCAATTAAACTGTGTATATTGTCCGCCTCATTCTGGGTATGCCCTCGGATCAGGAATTTATGTGTAATGCTTTGAATATTAAAAAGATAAACGGCGTACATATACATTGACATTATAAACTTATTTTTGTTCTGACCGGCACAATTGTCAGAATAAAATATAATATTCAGTGGGTCCTTCGCGTTCTTGCTAACTTCTTCCAAATATTTCCAAACGCATGTACCTATTTCAATAGCCCCACGCTTTGCATCAGATTCAGTCCAAAAATAGCTGTGTACATTGTCATAGGAGCCTTTTTTATCTGGTTTGGACAACTCAGTAACAGTCAGGTTGTAACTATTGAGTTTAGACTTGTAATAGAACGCTGACGAGTCACCACGTGGGCACTGTAACACAGCTTGCAAATCATAAATGACGACTTTGTTATTATCAGTAATATTTTCTCGGTCTGACTTCTTTTCATTCCTGCTTAGTACCTTTTCTTCGTGATGTTGGTCGTATTTTTCTTTTAACTCTCTTTTCTGATCAGCAGTTGAATTCTCGTAAGACAAACACATATCGCACATATCTTTTTTAGGCTGAAAAAAAGATATGTTGAACTCCTTTGTAAATATGTTGTAATAGTTCATGTAATTTCCTATGTCCTTTTTGTTCTGAGTTTGTATTTGTTTAAAATCATCATAAAGATCTTTGATTGTTTTTCCCCCATCTATATATTCTTTTGAGGTAGTAGCTCTTACATAATGCGATTCCATTCGAGGGATGGAGTTTATGTGTTCTCTGATGTCTTTTATTAAATCTGGATTAAGTTTCTTGTGATTTCCATGCTTTCCGCGTAATTCTTCTTCTAAAAAGTTATTGTTATTAGTTTTTTGCTGTGTAGTGAATATCATTCGGTCCGAAATGTTCAATGTGGCTTTGAAAAAAGTTTTACAAACTCTGATTGGTCGGTTATCAATAGTAAAATAATATGCTTTATTTGGCTTTCGGGGATTTTCTGCATTAGTATATTGGTACCTTGGTTTGATATCCACCATGGATGATTTAATGAAAGCCCTTTGCTGGTACAAGTCACTCAAATTCCAATAGAATGTAAATAACTCATATCTAGTGTCCGTACTTATTATATTGGAGCATTTAAGTTTGCATTTCTCGGTACATGGCGGTTGAAGACAGCGACCTGGAACCCTTTTCTCTTTCTTAGATACGGAGGTGTAAGGTTGACCGCTGTTACGAAGTCGTTTGGCCTTGTTCTGCTTCCATTTTGAAGAATCTCTTATTCGTTTTCGACCTCTTTTCACTTCTTTATTTGAAACATCAGAATCGCAGGAACTTGATAAAGACCTGGATGGCGACGAAATAAAAAAGTTCTTTTGTTTATTTCCGTAGTTAGTCGTATGTACATAGGTAGGATCATCATCACTCAGATCAACGTCACTCTCATCTGTGTATATAGGGGAAATCGCATATTTTGGCGTAGAGTTAAAATCAACTTGAGGGCTAGTTCGATTCTGGAAACATAAAAAGTATTGGTAATAACTATTACAAGGCCTAATGTATTAAAATATTTATTTTTTGTTGTATTAAAATATTTTATACATTTTTTTGTTACTATTTGATTGTATTTGTGCTATTTATTTGTTTAAAGTGTTAATGATTTTAAAATATGAAAGGAATAAGTATAAATTCTTATACAAACTTTATTTTAAAATAATATTTTGAAAATAACTTACTGCAACTTCCAGGAGTGGTGTGGAACCCGACGCAACAAAGTTAGGCTCTTTGTTAGAAAGATCAGTCTTGTTCCGATTTTTTGGCTGTTGAGTGTTATCGTCTGAATCTTCAGAAGAAGAATCAGAATATGAAACCAAGTTTTTGGTTATGGCATGTCCAGGCGTACGTGCGACTTTGTCCTTGTTCTGAAATAGTCAGTTAATAATATTAGATAATATTTAGTAGGTAATAAATAATACTCATAGTAGGTATGTTGCCCATTTAGGTAATTCAAATTTCACTCTAAAATGATGAAAAGTTATAAATATAACATTATGTTAATTTCATCACTTCGTATTATAAAACAAAGTCTCCCGGTGCGTCTGTTTGCGATAAACTCAAAAACTACTGAACGGATTTTGACTCAGTTTTCATCAGTAGATAGAGTAGTTTGTAAGAAAGGTTTTGATATGTGATTTGCAGCCCGGGCGCAGCCAGGGCGGGTCCGCTAGTGTACTAATAATACATAGCTAAGTACTTAGTACTTACCGTAGTTGATTTTTTTATAATACGTGGAGGTGTATTTTCTATTATTTCATCACTCTCAAATTCGGCATCATTCGATAGTTTTGGTCTCGGTTCTGTGTAACTTTCACATTTTTCTTCAGTAAGGACAAGTTTTTTTACTTGACCTGCATTCTCTTCTTTGACAGTTTTATTGGTACTTGATATCTTGCATTGGTCTGCATTATCGTAAGTAGAAGCTGAGCTTGAACAAACTGAGCTGGAGGAAGTCGAATTAGTGGTGCCTGATGATGATGAACTTGAAGAGCTGCTCGAGGACGACCTAGATTGCCTGCGGGGTGATCGCGTCTCCTTGCAGGGTGAATTGGTTTCCTTGTTGGGTGATCTAGATTTCATGTAGGGTGATCTGGATTTCCTGCAGAGATGTTCGACCTCCATGCAGGGTGATGTGGACACCCTGCGGTGTAAACTAGTCGTATTGTTAGGGTATCTGGATTCCCTGCTTTGTGATCTGGAGTTCCTGAGCGGAGACCTAGGCTTTTTGTTAATTACTGTACCCTGGTAGTTGGTTGGTTCATTGATCTAAAATGGTAAAAAAAAAAATGTCTACGAAGAAAGTTACATAATATCAATATGCAAGTTATAATAGTAGGTACTTACTTCTATTTCGGTTGACATAGAATTTGTTTGAGATCTCGTATCCGAGCATTTATCAGTGCTCATTGTAATCAGTTTTTGGCATCGCTGTTTTCTTATTGTAGACGTCGACATGATTAAACACAACTACGGAAATGGAAAATTATTATTTTTATTACAAAAAAATAAAACAGAACAAAATTGTGTGTTTTTAATAAACTGCAGTAATTGCTAAAGTACTTTTGAACTTTTAAGCTATTTTAGAAGTAAACAGAAACAAATACGAAAACTTTTTTAATTTGCCAATAGTTTTTTCTAATAAAGTGAAATAAAATTTATTATTTCCTGGGTGTTAGGTATAATTTTAAATTAAAACGCACTAAAACATATTATTTTATAACCATGCATAAGGAATTTAATAAAATACTGAATTATGTCTTAATAACGCACGTTTTAATAGAACACAATTTTCAACAAAACTGATGTAAATCGAAATCGTGCTTGTTTAGAAACAAAAAAAAACGGTATTAACTTACTTGCGCTTGCAAATAAAGTGAAATATTTCGAGTTACTTCGGCGTCTTCAAAACAACGTAGCGTCTACCTCACATCGCTGCTGCGCTAAGACTGAATGATTCACTATCTCACGAAACCCATTGTCGCAGGCTTTAGTAAGAAAGAGAAGGGTGATCCATCAAATCGGCCATCTTACTTTGTTTCGCGTGGCTGTCGAATTGTACCTATTCTTTGAGTTGAATTAGTTCATTTTATTAGTAAAAGTAGGAATCCTTGAATTTTGACTTATTTCGGTTTATTATTAAGCGTGCGCTATGTCCTTTCTGGAATTCCAAAATATGTCTGTACCAAATTTCACAGAAATAGGTTCAGTAGTTTAGGCGTGAAGAAAAGACAGACAGACAGAGTTACTTTCGCATTAATAATATTAGTTTGGATTTAGCCGATATCACGGTGGTGGTAAGCGATGATGATGTGAAGTATGCAATTAAAAAAAACGTCTCATCATCATCATCATCATCAACAACAAACAATACGAATAACAAAATGATCCCAAAAAATCGAAGAACTGATTTAATCAATTTTTTTTAATGTAATGTGATGGGCAAACGAGCAGACGGATTACCTGATGGTAAGTAATCAACGCCGCTCATGGACACCCGCAACGTATTAGTTACGAGTGCGTTGCCGACCTTTCAGGGATAAGGGATTTGGAGATTTAGGGTTGAGGAGGGATTGGGGGTGGGGAAGGATTGCGCCTCCGGTAACCTCACTCACACGGCGAAACACAACGCTGTGGTTGTTTCACGCCGGTTTTCTGTGAGGCCGTGGTATCACTCCGGTCGAGCCGACCCATTCGTGCCGAAGCATGGCTCTCCCACACCTGATGATTAAAAAAACAGACATTTTATTTAAAGAAAACTACGAACCTCATTTCCATAGACGTGCGATTTCTTAACGCTGTCTTTCAGACACAGCTGTCGTACTCCATGCAATTATGTTTCTTATTACCAACATTTCCTATAAGCGTTATATAAAAAGTTATATGACTAGTGATTAGTGGAAAAACAATTGCAACATATTCTCTAGAAACAATACTCCGTAACCGCTTATTACTTGTAGACCAGTGTCGACATCTTGCGGCGTTGAAGCCAGCTAATTGTTGTCTATGCGATTTCTTAAGAACCCCTTTCTAAGATTGTAATTGATTGTAGATTCACTTGGTATTTCCTGTTCAATTTAGATAGGTATGACATAATTCTTGTTCATACAAGTTTCTATAAAGTACCTACCCAGGATAAAAATGGCTTATGTGTTATCCCAGACGATAATCTATCTAAAGGTCGAATGTTATAAAGATCCGATCTACGTGATAGAGTAACAAGCATCCATATTTACTCGTACTAACAAACTTTCGCATTTAGTATGAATTGTATTAAGAACTAGCGGCCCGCCCCCGCTCCGCACGGGTCCAACTATCTCGCTATCATAGTGTCACTTTTTCCTAAACTTCCTCTCTACTTTTCTAATATTTTCTTTGATAAAAGCCTTCTCCTGATAATAACAAACACAACAACAAAAAAAGAATTAGCAAAATTGGTCCAGGCATTGTTGAGTTATGCGCTTACCAACACATTTGGCGATCCATTTTTATATATAAGAAGATATATAGATAAAGGTTTGGTCATAAGAAGGCCATTTTGGCTTTTCAAGTATGTGTGGAGAAGAAAAAAAAACGATCCAAAATATTTTTCTTTCATCTCATAATATTAAGGGACACTTTATTTCCAGTAAAAATAACTAGGTGCCCAAATGGAAAACCTTTTCACTGTCGTCTACATTACACATGATATCAACTTCCATTTTCCCGATTGATATAAATGGAATAAAACAAAGGACGAGGGTAAAGTAGGGAGGTAAAAGTCTTTCGCAAACAAGAATTGACAACCGCAATATTGTTTCACGTTAAAGGTCTTAAGACAATATTGATACACATCATTGGGATGGTCCATTAGCTATATGGCACAAACGCTAGTCGAATTGGGCGTATTATCAACTCAATATATTTCAGAGGTATTTAAATAATTACTTTTCGCGTTTTACCCGTTTAATAATATGTTGTCAATATACATATAGATTTATAATCGTGGTGGCCCGGAGGCTAGGGCGCCCGCTTCCCATGCAGAAAGTACTTGCCAGGTTGCGAAACCAATGAGGTACCCCGGCTTCGGCCTGTAACAGGAGAAGGAACGGATTTTTCGAAAAGAGATTTTATTCACTAAGAGTGTGACACACTCTCTCTCTCTACTTACTCTGGGCGAAAGAAGTCATTTGATGACGTCCCTCTCAAAAAAGAGCGTTCTCCGATAAAAAAAGGATCAGATATTATTTCAAACTGCTATCTCCAACCGGTTTGCCAAGCGTAGAGATTATGGCAAATCTCGCTTTAGTAAAGGAGGCCCGAAGTCCACTGGCAGACTCTGACGAGTTGCTGATGACTTCTAATTGCTGTAATTTTCTTTTTTGTTGTTTTAAGGTACTTAGGTACCGTCTAGTTAAAACAATGTGCATTATTACCTACCTGTAATTTTACTTTGCCAGTTAAAATGGCTTCCTGCAAAAGACTGTTAATATTTATGATTGCTGGAACGAAACTTTCAAACTGACCAAGAAAGAAAGTAACTTGAGTTGCCGTGGAAATAAAATTGATTTTATATTTTTCTTAGAAAGTGGGACTTCGTTATTTGAACTAAAAATAACTTCGCTTCCATTTTATTTAGCGTACCTTCGTAAATTAATTTTAATCTGATTCTATTTTATCAACATTTATTTATTTGGCGAATTACGTGTTAGATGACCATTTTTAATTTATTAAGGTCATCATCATCAGGCTATAAGTGCCCACTGCTAAGCAAAGGCCTCTTCTCATACGGAGAAGGTTAGAACATTAATCACCACGCTTGCTCATTGCGGTTTGGCGATTTCAAACTTATAATTGGAAATTATAAGTCCAGGTTTCCTCGCGATGTTTACCTTCACCGTATGTCAGTGGTGTCTAAATAATCATATTAAGGTTATTCAAAGAATTAAAATGTAAATCATTGCAAGAGTAAGGCAAATAGATTGAAAATAATGGCACAAGAACGATGATCATGATTGGGGACGTAACAAACGATTATCAACATACAATTAGTAGCTTTCTATAGAAAAGCAATTATTGTTAGTACTCGGGACAACATACTAATTGAAATTAACGTCTCAAGTGCGGCTAGTAGTTAGTGCAGAAAGGTTGACATAGACTTTGTTCTAATAATTATAGGCTTCAACAAATTGATTCCAATTATTTATTTGTTGTCTTGTCTCTCATTTAGGGCTGATTTTTCAATAGACAAATAAATGTTATCTAAGGAATAAAATTGTTGCTGTCACTCATTTTATACAAACATTCTGACGCGACAGCATTATAATTATTTCCCCCTTTATCTAACCATTGAAAAATCAGCCCTTAAAGAGATTTTTTTGTGTTTATTTTTAGATTATTCAAAATTTTCGAAACCGTGCCATATCATTTATTTCAGTGCAACCGTTTTTTTTAAAAAGGATTTTATTGTAACGTTTCGTACACTAGGTTTTCAAATACACATCACACCTAGATCCGGAACAACAATTTGTGGATCACACAAAGACTTGTTTCTTGCGGGAATCAAATCCGCAGGCCTCTTGTGGCGCTATTCACTAGTGCTAAAGTCTAGATTCTGAAACAGAAGAATGAGCAAGAAACTTCATGCATAGTTAATCTTTTTCAATCTGATTCTTTTTTACATTCGAGAAATTCGTGAACAGGCTTATAGGTTTATTAAAAAAAAAAAACAAATTAGGATTTTGGTTACTTATTTGTATCGTAATAAATCTTATATCAAAATTCCTTTCTCTCTCTTTCTCTGTCTAGCTCACACACACATACGCTTTTTATCGAATAACGCAATTTTCACCAAATATTGGAAAATTCCAGGCCATTGTTATGGAAAAAAACTGAATTGTTGTCAAATGTAGGAAATATTTTGTTCAACAAATCTTCGCTTGTAAAATTACGTCGATGGCTATTGTAATGTGAATCCAGTTATTGGTTTTAAATTAAATAATTTGATAAATTGTCCGTTACATTGAACTTTACATACTGTGAGTTGGTCGGAACAAAATAGTCTGTTAAAAATAAGTTTTTAATAGTTTTAAAAATATTTTTTTACATCTATTTCACCTTTTAGCGAAGAAAAATATTGGTTATTTTGTCATTATCGTCACCATACATAGCTATAACGTATTTTAACGATAGGAGTATTTGAAAAAAAAAAAAATATTTAACTGTTGGCCTTTTTATAAGGGAAAAATTTTCACATGACTTCTCCCGCCCAGGGTTAGGCGAGAGGGAGTGTCAGACTCTTACTGACTAAAAATCCCCCGTTTTTTTTCCTACTCTAGGCCCAAGCCGTGGTGGCTTAGACCTATGAATTAGGCTGGCCTAATGATTTCCTACAGTCATCTTCTGACAATTATTTTTATTATTCAAGCCTA